ACTTTCCTTGCGCACAAATGTATTTAATTTCTTCAGTTGTGTGTCTATGACACTTTTGCGCGCGTAACGCACAAAGATGAAATATCGGTCACCGCGTTAACGTACGAAAGAATTTCTGAAGTTCCGAGTATAAATATAATATTAAAATGTTGACACTCGGCGCGATGGGGAAATGAAATAATGGGGATGTTGTTACGAAATTTACGATGTTAATTAGTAACAGATAAACAGCATTTTCGCTTGATAAGAGAACATACACCATTGTAGTCCGAATATTCGATCTTCAGGGAAACTTTGAACGCATTGTTCGTGCAAGCTCGTATAGGCCGCTGCCTTTAATATATTAACAACCGCGCATTAACGTGGTAATTCCGGTGGTAATTAACTAATCACGCGTGCTGTTACACATGTGTTTACGCGGGTTCGTTTCAGCGACCATTAAGCACTATTAAAATGTAACCAACGATCGAAACGGGCGTAACGTTCGGAGAGAGATTTAAGCTTATAATTCTATAATGGACGCAAAACGCAAGACACGATAAGCCGCAACGCAAGAAATCGACCAATCACAGTCAAATATGAGAAGAATGATTGACTGTCATTAGCCGAGTTTTCGCGTTGCGGCTTAACGACTTGCGTTTTGCGTCCATCGTAGAATAAGCTTTGTACGAACACGTGGATATTGTTGTTTCGACGCCCGATTGCATCGTGTACTTTGTAATTTTTCTCTGGAGATTCCGGGAGCCGCGGCGGCGACACGGATAAAAATTTCGCACGCTATTTCGGTGGCGAACAACAATGGAATTGAGCAACGCGAAATTCCACGTGTCGTTTACCGGACCGCGCGCGTCCCATGTGTGTGTATGTGTGTGTGTGTGTGTGTGTGTGTGTGTGCGCATCAGCGCGACGGTTTTGCTTTTGTGTGTTAAAGTGCGCGCTACACGTGCGCTGAATGCGACACTATCGCAACGCGGTCGCTCGTAAATGCACTCCGCACAGATTAACACACATGGCGGCAACTCTCTTTTTTTCTATCGAGGAACAGTTAGACCGCGCGCATCGAGAGAAGCGTCTCGTCCGCAAACTTCTGGCTGGAGCCGACGGAATCCGTGGGATTATTGCAGCCTGATGGTATTCTTACATATGTCGTACGACAAATTTTTTAAACGCGTTGATTGGCTACAAGACACAGAATTTCTAAATACTCGAGAACTTTTCTATCCTGCAGCCAATCAACACCCCTGAAAAATTTGTCGTACGACAAATGTAGTCCCGGCCTGACATAATTGGCGACACGACGATCGTTTAAGAGTCTGAGCAAAAAGATTGTCGTAACCAATTTTATCGTAAGACATTGATTTTGTCGTAATAGTTTACGATTCTGTCGTAAGACTTAAGTCGGCGCCGGAATCGTAGACTTTTACGATAATCTTTTTGCTCAAGCCTCGAGAACGTCCAGAGATATTGTCGTTAGTCGCGAATTACAGCCTGAGCAGAAAGACTGTCGTGACCGTTTACGCTTTTGTCGTAAGACTTAAGTCGGTGTCGGAAGTCAACGCAAAAAATTGTCGCAGACGTATGCTGCCTTGCGATGCGATGAATGCGACATACGTCTACGACAAATCTTTGCGCGTTGACTTTCGACACAGAGTTAAATCTTACGACAAAATCGTAAACGGTTACGACAATCTTTCTACTCAGGCCTTTAGGCTGGTTCTACAATAAACGCAGTGAGTCGCAAGCTGCAAGAAATTGACCAATGACGGTCGATTATTCTTCTCATATTTGTAATGGGTTGATTTCTTGCGACTTGCGACTTGCTCTGTCTATTGTAGAACCAGCCTTAGGCCTGTTACACAATACGTCGTATGTCGCTGTCGGATGTCGCGACG